TTGAAATAAGAGATAAATGAAGAGGGAAAACGAGTGATAATGGGATTTGAGTGTAGAGGTTGAAGAATTGAGTGATGCCATGAAAGTAGCTTCAATATTGCAAAGGGTGAGGACGGGGCGGGGTGAAGAGGATGAAGTATTTGGGGAGGTTGGTTGGGGCGTGGGGATATGTTAGGTAGGTTTTTTTTTTTTTGAGTTTTAATTATTTTAATGATTAATATATGATTGAAGAAATTCCCCTCTAAAATGGTCAAAATGTCTCATTTTTTAATTTTTCAGATCAATAGACTGTTTCTTGGACGGTTCCGTCCAGATGGACCTCAACTGCATTAAAGTTGTGATAAAGTTTGCAAAAGTTGAAAATGATAGAGACCACTGCTGCAACTTTCCCCAAAATAAAATATAAAGTAGTGAACACATTACAATTTTTTTATAATCAGTATTCATGATCTAGAAAGGAATGATTTTACTCTAAAATAGTTGTCCAAATATCTAAACATGAGAGATTGAATAACATTTACTCAGAACTAATGAAATTAATATTTAATTTATAATCATTTTTTAATATTTAAATATTTAAAAGTATTTTTATTTGTATAGAAGATAAAAGATAGTAAAGTATAGAGATTGAGTGCATGAGTTATATTAAATTCATCGAAAGAGATTATTGAAGATCACGAGATATGCGGTGCTTTATTTGTGAATGTTAGGAGAAATATCGTAACATTATTGAGAACATCGTAATCATGGGAGATTTTTCTGGAGATCACATAATATAATTTTTTTTCATAAATAGTAAGGAGTCTAGACTAGCTATGAATAATGGGCACTCCAATTATTTCTTCGTGGTACATTTCTATACGCGTGAAAGAACTCATGTAACATTATTGTGCAACATGAAATACTCCTTTTTATTATTATTATTATTATTATTATTATTATTATTATTATTATGCCTGGTCACTATCTTAAATTCAAATTATTATTATTATTATTATTATTATTATTATTATTATTATGCCTGGTCACTATCTTAAATTCAAATCGAGCCATGCTTTAAAAACATTGGACGCATGCCTTTGTTGGATGTAGCTTTGCTTTGTCTAATCAAGTTGGACCTAATTATATATTTGTTTGATTTCTTTGTCTGACAATCTTTGTGCAATCAATGGTTCCATCACTATGTTTCCACAAAAAAATGAATGTAAGATTAAAACTCAAATATTGTCTCCTTTCTCCAATGGAACTCATTATTTCTTTATACTTTTAGCCTTTTTTTTTTTTTTTTGTATTAATNCATTGGACGCATGCCTTTGTTGGATGTAGCTTTGCTTTGTCTAATCAAGTTGGACCTAATTATATATTTGTTTGATTTCTTTGTCTGACAATCTTTGTGCAATCAATGGTTCCATCACTATGTTTCCACAAAAAAATGAATGTAAGATTAAAACTCAAATATTGTCTCCTTTCTCCAATGGAACTCATTATTTCTTTATACTTTTAGCCTTTTTTTTTTTTTTTTGGATTAATCATACTAGATTCCTTTGAAGTGAAGTGAGGTATGTATAGCTCCAGAAGCCAGCCCAACTTTTATAGGTTTCACACTTGAATATAAGTTTTAAGTATCTTCACTCAAAAATTTCGTCAAATTTAGAATTGTGAGATGAAACAGCATTTTCTGTTGACTTCTATTAAAATCTACTCTCGTGAATTTTTTAAGTTTCTCTCTGTGATCATTGTTAGGGGGTACGACACATGTAATATTACTAGTCATAATCTAACAAAATTTTAGAATATAAATTAGCACGTAAAAGAGAAATTTATCGTCTTAAAATTGTTGGATAAATATTGATACTATTGTGCAATAATTTATATTCAAAATAATCTTTTTATAGTGAATAAACTATTGGGCAGAATTTAGACTTACAGAATGAACGGAATAAAATAGAATGATAATGGCCGAGGCAAGAATTTGACTCTTTCTCATGATAATGCCCCAGACACAGTATTCCGGGACTCATCTCCCAAGATACAACGACCTCGACTTGTAATAGTAATACTCCAAGTTACAAGACTAGCAAACCTACTAATGTTTTGATCTCTCTAAAATCGGAGGACTTAATTAAAATGCACAATATATAATAATATAGGACAGAAGAATTATATTTTGCAAGAGAGAAAATCATAAATGATTTTGGAATAAATAAAATCCGGTATATGGAAACCTATTTATAAAAGTTGCAAAGTTATATCCAAAAGACACAACAGTCGAAAAGTTACCCATTTGGATATGCAGCTTAACAATGAACTGCCGATTCTAGAACCAAAAAATATATACCAACTTGGCCTAAACCCAAGCCCATAACCTACGACATGTTGGTGTCGTGCCGAGCCGATCGACCATAGGTGGAACGAATGGCGACTTTGGCTACCTACCAACATGTAGGTTCTCTCCCCTTCAAAAATTATTGGTAACCCTTGAGGCCCGAATCCAAATTTCAGCAATATAAAATGGTTTCTACTTTTCTAGTTTTCTTATGCGGAATTGGCATTTTTTGATTTCTTACCAATTTTTAACCCAATTTATTTCAATTTCAAGTGGTCTTTTTTTGGTCTTAGTTTCTCATTTACCCTAAATTGGTTTTGAGAAAATAAATACATTACATTAATCTTCTCGTAGAGTAAAATACACTCAGCCCAAGAAATCTTTTGTCCAACTAACAAGACTCACTTCAATAATTGGTCAAATGTTGTTAAACCAACTAATTAAACCAATTTTCCAACATTATGATCTATCCATTGAGTCTACAATAGTGCTGGACTTGTTTCGTTAAAATTCAAAAAGCATACAAGTTCATTAAAAAATAATAGTAAAAATGAATAGAGAGTATCTTTTCAACGAGGATTTAGAATTTAGCTTCATTTTGATCAATTCGAGCTTAGATTGAATACACATAATAGACAACTGTAGGGGTGTCCAAAAATCTCGAATCGAACCAAGCAATTTTTCATAAATTAAATACCCGAACGGGTACCCAACTAGAAAATCGATGGGTTTGGATCGGATCTCGGTTCTAGACCAAGAACTGAAAAACTGAATAAGATCCGAAACTAAATAATTTTTTTATTTTTTATATTGAATTAATTAAATTAAATTATTTTTTTTAAACAAATTAGTAAATTAATTAAATAAATTNATATTTGTATATATTGAATTAATCTTATTGGACATCTTGTTATTTATATGTTTTTAAATTGGATTACGTTAATTCGTAAAAGTTACGAATGAACATGTCATTAGTTGTATTTATGTAGTATTGCTGTAAATGTTAAAAATTTTAATTATGGTATGGAACCGAACGGAATCGAACGGAACGGAATGGAACCGAACCCGAATGGTTCCATAATTATATTTGGACCCGACGGGGTCCATTTATTAAATACACCAAAAGTTTTGGGTCGATTCAGTTCTCTTCAGAATCGAACTGAATCGACCCACGGACAGCCCTAGATAACTGAATGAAGTTTTGATTCAAGTTGAAAGTTGGAATACTAGTTTGACTAAGAATTAAATACGATGTCTAAAATTTTAAACGTATAAGAACAACAAAATAACTCCATAAAAATCATGGAGTAGGCATGTACGAGGCACACAAGACGAGACTCCTCAATACTCACATACGATAACCAAAGATATCTCATTTTCAATTCTCTCTCTCTTTTTTTTGTTAATTGTGTGTTCTTGAATTTAGGGTTGTAGGTTTAGGGATCTTGGAATTGGTGTCCAATAATAACTAGCTTCCAAACTGACTATTGTCTTGTCAT